CAGTTCTTGGTAATGGATCTTTTTAATTTTTAGTTGAAACATATACTTCTCTGTGATTAACTTCTTGGGTTATGAGTAACCAGTGTCTAATCAATATTTTGGTCCTCCTATATTTCAACACTATCTGATATGATGATTCCATAATTCTTGGGCGATACTTTTAATTGTTCATTTCCAAATTTAATGGATTCAAGTTCTATAACCAACTGGACAGCTTCCTTTAAAGACATACACACACAATTTGTTTTAGCCTAATTCACATATTCCCATTCATTATGTCATTTACGTACTGGACATATGCCACCAAATCCTTTATTTCACGTGGAGCTTCAGTAGAAGAAGACTAGGCAAGTCTTTTTCATATCTTCACTAAGTTTGGCTAAGGCCTCGCCCTTCCACCTTATTCTATATTCAAACTTTGCTCTAGAAACTTCCTTCTGATGTGATACTCCAAATATGTTTGCTAAGTCAGCCACTAATTCACTTCCTTCCAATGTGATACTTCAAATATGTTTGCTCAGTCAGCCATTAATCCACTTCCTACTGTTGTGAAACTCCAAATATGTTTGATAAGTCAGCCATTAATTCCTGGTATTTGTTACAACTCTCTGTTGGAAGACTGTTTGAGGTTGTTAAAGATGGCGGCAAGATGAACAACTTTTGTTCACGACTTCATCCATTCATCTCGAAAATGTTTTGCAACTGAAGTTCACAGCAGACGCTAATACAACAATTTTACTTATTAATTTTTTTCCTATTTTTAGTGCTACATTGAAACACCGATTAAAGATTCGCAAAAACTGTAGTAGCAGACCAGCCAACTAAAAAAACTCGCCAACTGAACAATCAAATTAACCGCTACTGTAATCAAACTTGTGTTTAATATCTCCAATGTCATTTTCTAAACCATCAAGAAAATTCAGACGCTAAGCCACGCGTTTATAAATACTCCCTCTAGATGTAAAACAATACAAACATCTGTATTAAAATGTATATCATACAACATTGCGTTATGATATCCTTAAATGTATGTATTTATTGTATAGATGTTATGACTACGTTCCAAGTTATCATTTTGTCCATTATCTAACTGTGCAGCTTTAATCTTCTGTGGATTATCAAGCGGATGAACTGTCAGATTAAAAGATAATCGTTGGCCCTGTGGTGAAGCTATGGATGTCGGAACAGGAGACCCGTGTTCGAATCTATGCACAACCACAAAATATTCCCTGCACTTTGAGCTGCGAGTGCGTTATAATAGTAATAGTTAATCCCTTAGCAGAAATGTTGGATGCAGCCGACTTCCTTCTTGTCAAGTAGTTCAAAATTAGGGATGGTAGTAAATAGCCTTAGTAGCTTTGCCGTAAATAAAAATCCAGTAATAAACTTCTGAATTTATATTTGTAGGGACGATGGGTTTCATGCAACGAAGGGTGGTATAATTGTTCGAAATCGTGGGCAATAGGCACGTATCTCTCATATCCTGTGTTATTAACATTACAGATATTTTTCATTTTAATTATGAGATAAAATTTAAGGCTATGGCCTGAAGTTATCTGGGCTGTACTTCCGCAAACACCTCCACACCAGAGTGCGCTTTTTCCTTCCCGGTTATACTCGTTTGACCTACATGGAGGTGTGTGGGTGTCCAAACCTTTTTCCTGCATGAACTTCAACATGTTAATTAATTGTTCATGTGTAGCTTGTTCAGGAGTACACTTGTTTGCTCTTATGTCATATTTCTTTTTTTAATAGTTTGAAGGTTATTTTTATAAACATTAATTTACTTTTGAGCTATTTATTTATTATTTAAACAAAGTTCGAGATAAAGGATTTTTTGTTGTTGTTGTTAAGCATAAAGCTCTCCGTGTTGTGCCTACTACGGGTATCGAAACCCGATTTTTATCGTTATAAGTTAACAGTCTTACCGCTGAACTACTGGAGAGGGGGGCAAGATGAGTTAAGTACAAATGACTGCGATAAAAGTCACGTGAACTGCAGTTTTTTCCTACACAATTCTCAGAATTTTTACATCTCAAAACATTAGTAGGAATATTAAAAAGAAAGTAGAAAGATAAAACATATTGGATATTAATTATCAGTACTTCACCAACTTTCGGAATTTTAAATCGTAACTTACTTATGACTAGTTGGAGTACCCGTCCATTGGACGAGAGAAATAAAAACTCGTGTGTAACAAAGGACAGGAATAAAAATACCAATACTGAAAAGAAAGACGTACTATGTTCAAGAATTATATCAATATGAAATTAAATGGGGTCCAACCCCCCTCATGTCATCCTGTATCACTACGTCAAGTTTGGTGTTGATTGATGAAGAAATGTAGAAACGTGTAACTATAAGGACACATATGAAGTGATAGCTATACGGCTGTGTACACACTTTGCTTTATATCCTTCAGAATTTTACACCTTCACTTAGCAATACATTGACATAATAATTGAATTTTCAATAATATAATTTACATAAATAAACCTTTATTTCCACGTGTTTACTGATCAGTTGCAGAAACTTTAACAGTGGTAAAAATGTTGAGAAAATGGGTGAGAAGGTGTGCCTGAAAAAAAGTTGCAACTTACGATTACAAGAATATAGATTTTTTGGATAAAAATATTGTTAAAATACATATTAGAATCAATCATACAACCTCTGTTGGCATTAATTTTCAAAAAAGTAGTTTACTCGTATTTCACTACTACCTAGATGAAGCTGGATAATGAGTCTGTTGGTAACTAAAACCACAGACATGAGGTAATGGAGTCCCTTGGTTAAAACATTTTCTTATACCGCCACCTATTTTTCACAGATAATTTGTCCTAAATGAGAAACTTCCTCAGAATTAGTTACTTTAATTTCTCATCTAGAACGTTAGGTAAATTTGAAGTCTACTTCAGTTAAACTTTGTTTTTGTTGTAGAGCAAAACAACATTTGGCTATATGCTGTGTTCAACCCGAACAACTGAATCCCACATTTTAGTGTTGCAAGTCTTTAAACTTACCGCTGCCCTACCGGGAGTTTTCGGGTAAAAGTTTGAAATTAGTTGCTAGCGTGCTAATAATTATTCATTTTAATTATTTGACATAAGAATGCCCTCTACCGGTGGATAATACTTCTAAGGGTGTACCTAATTTGACAAACAATCAATGTAACCAACAGATTTATTTGTTTGTTATTAAGCACAAAGCTGCAGAATGGTCTATCGAAACATGATATTTTGCGGTGTGAGCCCGAAGACTTACCACTGAGCCACTAGGGGGCGTAACCGACACTGGAGTTTGTGCAACAAGGCTATCTTTTATTGCTTCAGGAAAAGGCAGAGTAACTTGAAAAAATGGTTTGGTTTGAATTTCCGCGCAAAGCCTCATGAGGGCTGTCTGCGCTAGCCGTCCCTAATTTGACAGCGAAAGACTAGAGGGAAGGCAGATAGTCATCACCACCTGCCGTCAACTCTTAGGCTACTCTTTTACCAACGAATAGTGGGATTGAACATCACATTATAACGCCCCATGGCTGAACAAACCATTTCTCGCTGTATTTTTAATTATTTACCCGAATATATTTACATGTTACTTATTAAAATCATTGCTCACTAGGCAACATTGGAAATGGTGTTTCAATCAGATTTATTCTGAATTATGTGTTGTAAATACTGAATAAAAACAGCATTCCTATCCTTTACTGTAGTATCATTGAAATGAATGATATCACATATAAATCCAAAAATGTAATATTTATTTATCAAGTAATTTTTTTTTGGTTTTCAAAATTTAATAGTCATCATCAAAGAACATTTTTGTTCAACAATATATATAAGTATAAGCTATTAAAAAGTGAAATAAACAATATTTTTTTTAGCTTATTTCAAAAAAAAAAGTCTGACACGGAAGAGGTTAAACCTTTTTATTTACAAATGCAATATTAATTAATTAACATAAATCTGCAGTTTTAAGTATTTCAATATTATTCTTAAAAACGCGTGAATCAATGAATTCAACAAGCAATAGAAATAAAGAATGCGTGTCGGGGGTGATATAGTGAAGATTCGGCTATGTTTAATTTTCCTTTTAACTGTTATATATATATCTATATACTACTAAAACTCTGAGATTGTTTGTGTGTTTGTTTGTCTGCAATTAAATACAGCAAAAACGGCGATAAATAGCGCCATGTTTTTAAAGAAATAGAATAGAAATGAAAATAGAAACAGAATAAAACAAGTTTCGTTAAAATCGAGCTACGGGTTACCGAGTTAGCCCTATTTTTCGGGTCACTTTT